TTTTTGCATAGATTTGTCAGTCCTGCGACTTATACACCAAAGCAACTTAAATATATTTTTTTCTATATTCAGAACACAATTTTTGACTGATGCTTTAAATTTTTAAAAACTGCAACAGTGAGTCCTCCCGTGTGTGCTCGCTTCACTCAGCTGGTGCAGGCGGAGGAATGCTGGAGAGCTAGCGGCTCTGGCCACGATGGATGGATGGCGACGCGCTGCCCAGGTGAAATGAAGCTGTTTTGACCATTAAATAAATGCATAATAAACGTAACGGGTCAGTGGTGACACATTAGAAATGCAACTTATACTCCGGAGCGACTTATATATGTTTTTTCCCTCTTCATGATGCTTTTTTTTTTGACTGATGCGACTTTCATTCATTCATTCAACCTTTATTTAGACAGGTAAATCCCATTGAGCCTTGAGGACTCATTTACAAGAGAGACCTGATTTCAACAAATACTTATACTCCGGAGCGACTTATATGCTGGAAAATACAGTAGTATGTGAGCACAGAATCACAGAAAAGATTTAAATTATGATGATGTTGACAAATATATATTTAATTTGGATCTGCTACACTATGAAAGGTACTTAATGTGCTATAAAAATTTGTTCTGCATAGAAATCTGTGCTATCGGAGTTAAGCAAGTCAAATGATTTTATTTTAATAAAAATAAACCAAAGAATTAAAAAATATGAAAATAAAATAGAAAAACTGAAGCCAGGTGTATTTTATATTTCAACTGTAATTTTAAAGTTTGAGCCAAAACAAACTACAATCTGACCCGTCTTCAGGTTGTCCAGAATGCAGCTGAAAGTTTAACTCATATAAACAAAGCTGTTTTCGCCTCCCTTCACCGGCTCCCAGTTCAATTTAGAATCAGTTTTTAAATTTTAGCTTTAACTTTTAGAGCTTTGCATGAATGCCTTCTTATATCTCTGACTTGGTTCAGCTCCACGCACCGTCTTGCTGGTTAAGATCATCTGATCAGAGGTTGTCGATGGTACCCCGCACCCATTTCAAATCTCACAGGGATCGGTCGTTCCAAGCAGTTGCACTCCAACTTTGGAATGCTCTGTCTCCATCTTTGCACAGCCTAGATTGTATTGATGCATTTAAAATTATTTTATAAAACAAGCATTTAGCTAGATGTTGAATTTTGTTATTTATGTTTTACCTGCATTTTTCCATGCTTTTATACGTTTAAATGTATGTTGGTGTATGTTCTTAATATTTCACAGCTTTTAGTGGAAAGCACCTAATGATGTCATATCTATGAAAGGTGTTAATAAACTTTACTTATTTAAACATAATAGTTTTGTTAATGCTGCATGAATTCAGCATGTGTATAGAAGGTTAACAATCAAATAGTTGAATAACAGCAGCTGAGTTGGCATGATTTTCAATACAGATGTGAACTATTATTATGAAATGGATCAATGTTTTCAACATTTACAACAAGCTTTATACAGATATCCTGGGAAATACAATTGACACAGTGGATGAAAATAATTAGCATTCAGTGTAAACGGCACAGAAATATCAGAATTAGACCATTATGTCCCAATGCTGACCTGTCGTTTCTGTGATACGTGCATCTGTATTGGTGCTTTGCAAAAAAAGGGGCATGCATGTCCAACAACAGACACTTTTCTTTAAAATCAAGCAAATAAATCACAGTGAGTATGACACCCTTTTACATCTGAATGGTGTCTCCTGAGTTCTGGTTAAGGGGGATGTGTGAATATCTCAACTGTACCTGCAGACATAATGAAGTGTGTCTCTGCAGTAAAACAGAACAGCACTAAAGTGATGAGTTTAACCCAGCAGAAAGAGGGGCTGTAAACATGACAAATGCCTGCTATTGATTTCAGGTTTAATTACTCCATGCAGCACTGACAAAGCCCATCTGATGCTGTTGTGAAGTGTAAATGGAACAAATTACACTTCATTGCCCATAAGAAACTGATAGCGTCGGCAGTTTGCATTGTTTACTTTGTCCTCGCAAACCGACGAGGCCTGATCAAATCAAAACATGCCTGAACACTAAAAATTTTGTTTCTCATACTCTCGGAGAGAAAATAGATCAGAAGATAAGGAAACCAACATATTTCACCTGATATGTTTGGTATTTGATGTTAAATATTAAAATGCCAAATAAAAACTAAAAAGAGCCACAAATAAACTTCTGGCAGAAGCTGTGACAGTTTGTGTAAAACAGAGGAGCTGTGGTCAGCATATTTATTAGATTTTTCATATTTGAAGGTGTCTAATCATTCTGCTTCATGCACCGTGATTTCCGAATGCACACACTTCTTATTATGTTATGCTAATATAGACATTATGTGTGCTTTATATTGGTCTCAGTGATTAAAGTGACCCATTTCCTTAGAGCCTTAGACTCTCCCAGAGCTTTTTTATTTAGTGAAGAGTATTGTTGTTGTATCATCTTATTTCTTGGAGTGAAAAAGACTAAACTCTTTTTTGCATGACTAACTTTTATCTGGCTAATGGGAGTTGTGTCTATGAGGAAGACTTCTAATTCTTAAATTGTCTCACGCCAACAACTTCTTTAAAGTTGCTGCACTTGGATGCATGGCGGCTTAAGCTCCATTGCCTTTTCTTGTTTTGAACTAATGCATTCTTGATCACCGTTTAATGAAACTATATACCACATGGCGATTTCACATTAGATAAGCCATGTGAAACCCCCATCAGCAAGGAGGCTCTGGCTGGGGCTGATAATCCTGCAGATGAAAACCTTACAATAAATAGTGGTTTCTCTTATAAAAGACTGTTCAAATGCATTGCCTTCTACTTGCAGTGCAGATTCCCGTTCACAGGAGCTTGTTTCCTAATATAAATGAAGAAAGGTCTGGAGGATTTGCTTATTTTAGCAAACTGCACGCTTACAATAAATTTGCTATAAAAATTGTTGGCCTACAGGTAACAAAAACAGGCGCAGCATCTCACCACGGCATGCTTCATCAAACTCGTCCAGACAAAAAGACTACAACAGCAGCGAGTTGTCATTTGTGGCAAAAGCACTTAAACGAGATTGACCATGGCTTGTAATTTTAATTGCACACTGCTCTTTTCTGCGTATCTTAAGGGACGTATTGTAACAAGCAATGTGCTGACACTAATCCAAAAACAAATAAACAATGGGATGTTTTTTACTGCTCTTCTTTGACTTCAGCGTATTTGACAAAAAAAAAATGCATTGACAGTTATTGTGACTTTTTACCTTCGTATCTTCCATTTTCTTTTTGCTTGCTTGAAGATGAGGCGTGCATGTCTGCATGAATCGCTCTGTTTGTTGTTGGCAGTTATTAATATCAGACTTCAATGTGCTCATTATGAGAGCGGCTGATTTGTGTTTGAACTCCAACACATTCAAATATTTTCTGCGTTAAGACAAACAGTATTTTATCCAGTGCTGGTTAATTATTTTAACTTCTTCTCTTCTTAAAAGTAATTCCAAGGATAAAACAGTTATATGGTTTAATTACTTCCAATGCTATAATTTTATAAGAAAATGATGAGAAATTTCCAATATTATTGTAAGCTTTTACATCATATTCGTTTTTTTAAACTTACTGAAGTTTATTTATTGTTTCCTGAATGCCTTGAATATTTTTTTCCAATTGATCTGAGTCATCCAAATTTTTCTTTATGTATGTGATCCTACACAGAGTGCTGTCATATCTCTGTAGAGTGGAACTGTGCAAATCCTGTAAAAAAAAAAAAAAGCAAGTATGTTGGGAAACAATAGTGTGTAAACTATGTTTTATTTAATGAGATCAGACTAAAAACAGTATTTTTTTAAAGAGGATCAACATGATAAATAGTTGTCAGTATCTTCATCCTCAGCGAGCTTTAAAGAGTTAAACCTGACTTAGCAAATGTCCTGAGAGAAACAGTTCAGAGCAACTTTTCTCACCTGAGCAGCTTCCAGTTGGTCGTGTTTCAGCTTTTCCTCCCTCTTCAGGTTGAGTAAAGTCTCCTTGTGTTCACTTTGCATTTTCTCTAAATTTTCTGTCACTTCCTTCATTTTCTAAGCAAACAAACAAACAAAGGTCTTCTACTACCTAAACTGAATAATTATATACTTCAAATACCTTTTTAATTATTTACATTTTTTATGTTTGTGAGCACCAGTGACCCCATGTCCAGGAAAGGTAGAAGCAGGTAATGATGGATGGATGTATTTTTATGTTTGGATATGTTTTCATATATTTTTATGTAGAATCATCTTCAGACTGAACTTGATATTTGAGCCGTAGCTGTACCTTCAGTTTTGACTCCAAAGCTTTTTTTGCTGAATAATATTCTTCAAACTCTTTATGAAGCTGTTGATTGATTAGCGCTGAACTCCTTTGCTGTTTCTTTAATTCTTCTTCAACAGATGCTTTCTGAGCCTGAATAGAAACAAATACAAGCAAATGTTTTATATTTTATGATTTTAGAGTGTCCAGCAGTTGCAAATAATACCAGAATAGCAACAACATGTATTTAACAAGCATATGACAAAGAACATATACATTAATATGATTCTAAATTTAAAAACATTATTTTTTGTTGGTTTGTTAAATTCACTTTCTTCAGACAACTAGATTCAGAGGTTTGAGCTTCCACGCCTGTGGGGTAAAGAGTATGTTGTTGATTAACTCTCAAGTTTGCATTAGCAATTAATTTAGAGTTCAAGCTACATTTGTATGTTTGACTGAGAAAAAATATACTTTTACCAGGACAAAGAATCTGAAGCACCTCAGAAATTCACCTTTATCACATTCAGAGCTGTCATCATACCCATCAGTTCTTTCATCAAATGTTCACTTTCTGTCTGCAGAGAACACTGAACATCACTGGAGGAAACAAGTGGGACTTTTGTATGCAATAATGTGTGGCGTGCAGACAGAAAACAGACATATGTTGACTCTGACCCTGGCCCTCTGTTTTTCCATGAGGGTGAGCTGCTCCTGCTCTTCCAGCTTAGCCTGGGTGACACTATGCTGGGAAACAACTTGGGTCACTTCCTCACTGGCCTTTTCCCACTGCTCGTCATTGTCAGAGATTTTCTGGAGCATCTGCTTCCTCTCCTCATGCATCTGCTTCACTGCTTTCTTGCTAACCAATCACACAGTAAAGCATACATATGGTGTGAACACACATAAGTGCCTCAAGACACAAAGCATGCAGTGGTAGCACTTAATAGAGAATGATACATATTCATACACTAATTTGGCTTTGACACTGTACCTCTCAGAAATTTTCCTCTTGCAGTCTTCTACCTTCTTCTTACACTCCAGATTGTATTCACGGACCGCTGCAAGAGCTTCGCATTTTGCTTTGAGCTGTGCCTCTGTGCTGGAAACATCTTCTTCCCAAGCAGCTTTCTGAGAATTAATATTGATGTACATACCATGGACAAGTTACAGTTAAAATTCACTAATAATCAAATAGCATTAACGTGAACGGTTTGATAAAAGTTCAGTAATCGTGTGTCTGCATTAGTTTTATCAGATGAACCTTTAAGACACATGTTTTTTTTGAATGTCCAATGATTGAGTATTTGTCAGTACTTACTTTTTTTTCAATTGAAATCAGTTTTTCCGTGATTTCTCCATTTTTTTGCATTTCATCTTCAATTTGAAGATTTAAATGGGAAATCTGTGATGTAAAAGAACAATAGCATAGTAATATCTACCATTAAAGAAACAAAATTACAACATACAGTATAAGGAAATTGTGAGTTACCTTGTCTTGTTCGATCTTCTCAAGCCTCCAAATTTCAGAAATTCTCTGAGTTATGTCTGTGCACTTATTTTCAGTCAAAGCAATGGTCTCTTCAGCATTGTTTATCTCAGCAAGCAGCTCACTCTCAACAATCTTCAGCTGCTTTAATTCTTTCCTGGAAGAAAAACAGTCATTGAGGCTGGAACCAAACTTGTTTTTAATGAATAAATTTATTTTAAACAATGCTTGTAAAAATAAACTCCAGTATTTCTGTATTTTAAGGTTTTGCATTAAAATAAGACTCAAAGTTGGCTTGTAATAATCCTAATAAATGATTAGCTCCATTCTGCTGTAAAGTGCTTCTTGTACTACATCAAAAAGAAATGTTGTTGCTATGGTTACATGCAGGTCAATACCTTGACTTTCTGATACAGTAAAGCTCCATAACATGTACATTGTAAATTTAAGAAAGAAATTGCTTTACTTGGATAATAAAATGTTAGTAAAAAATGTTTAGTATATGTTGTAAAATATATTTAAAGCTGTTTTATCCATCATCTAAAGTTCTCAAAAAACATATTTTCTTATACAGCACTTTACTAAAATCTCTAAATGAAAAACACCAAACAATTAAAGAGAAAAACACAGCATTTCACTCATTTTAACTACCTTAACTAATGTTTAGCAAAAAATTATAAAAATGTTTTTAAAAAAAATCCCAACATATCAGTTGTCCTGATGCATGCTCAGTAATCCAGGTAGATACATCGAACAAGGTTGAGTCAGGTCCTCTGGACAGGTTGTTCTTTGTTGAAACATTTTGTCTTTTATCCAAAAGACTTCTTCAGTCTGAGGAACTGCAACTAACTCAGTCTGAGATTCAGTCTTAAGACTGAAGTCTAAAAGACAAACATTTCAACAAAGAAGAACATGTCCATATGACCTGACTCAACCTTGTTAGATATCAGTTGTACCATTTTTTTTTTCTCCATCATATACTCACAATTTCTTTGCCAGATGATTTTTTATCTTTATCAGTCCAGGGTCTAATGAAATCTTTTTGGCATCATGCTCCATCTCTTTTAACTCCTTCTGAGCCAGAAGAAGTTGACTTTTTGTTTCGGAACAGACTTTATCAGCCTAAAAATAATGTGATGTAATGAGATTACTTTGCAAGTTCTTGCAAGGTTATAAACATTCATAAAAAGGTATCATTTGAGTAATACTGTATAGTCTTTGATCACTAAACTTTCTGAAAATCATGTTACAGAATGAACTTATAACAGATGGATACATTTGGAAACAATTTGATTACCTTATTAATGATTATTTATGTTATTCTGGTATTCTGTTATTTAAAATTCCCAACACTTGTAGTTATACACAGCATTATGGACCCTATGACTATCCATCCTCAGTTTCTCAATACATAACAGAGCTTCTCCACACTCCAGTTTTTTTAATTGGGAAAGCTCACTGAATGGGAAGCAAAATGTCTTTGACTAAAGAACTGAAGTCCAGTTGTTTCGCTTTTAATTTTTTTATTTAGGATATGTCCTGGATGACTGAGAATTTGCACCAGCACATTCCTTTTTTCTTTTTTCTTTTTTTTCACTTTTAGTTGAATCTAGAGTTGCATTTAGCAAAGTTTTGTGGTTGACCAAAGATTTGAAAAGTCAGAAAACTAATAACCAAACAAGCACTTGTGAATTTAGATGAGTGAATGACTTAAATAACTTCTGTTTAGTGGAAAAGCATGGAGAAAATTAAACTCAGTGGTTTAACTGAAGCCTTATAAAAGTGATACCTATAAAATGTAATAAAAATTAAATAAACGGTGAAAAAAAATCACTGGCAATAATTAATTAATTGTTAATTAAAACATATATATAAATTGGTTTAATTTAAAATATTATTGATCCTAAAGTTCTAAACTTTCAGTAAGCCTTTTAAAGGAGGTAGGTCAATTCTATAACAATTTTCAGTTTGAAATAGAAATTATGGAATTAAAATAAATCAAAGACCGACCTCAGTTTGGGCTGTCTGAATCTGGTTTATGAGGCCTTTCTGGATGTCCAGGTTTTCTCTCACAATAGGAAGTTGTTTTCTGGCGAAGCTGATGTCTTCCTGTAGGTGACAGTTCAAAGACTCAGCATGTGACACTTTCTTCTGGACCTGGTCGCTTTTCTTTTTTTCCCCGTTTAAGCTGCCACTTAAGCTCTGTGATGTCTCTTCTGCAAGCCTCGTGCTCTGGTAAAAACAGTAATCAATAATGAATAATAAGTTTATTAACTGGGTTTAGCAACAACTGAATCTTTTTACTTGACAGGAGACAAATCGATCTCTGAGAAGGTGACACCACACAGTTACTAACCTTTCTGAACAAGAGCAGGGAGCTCCGTTTGCCTCCACAGTGAAATGCTGTCAACTTTGCTTTCTAAAGTTTTTCTTTGCTCTCTCTCTTTCTGGAGAGCCTCCTCTGCATACTTTCGATCAGCCTCCAAATGTTCAATCAGATGCATAACCTCCCTAAGAACACCATCCACCTTCTTCTGCAGTGGGGATCTTTGACAACTGTCTGTTGGGTTGAAAACACTGAATGACTGCTACACATTTTGATCTCAGAAACAACACACATAAATTCAGCTTTAACAAGTTGTTGTGTGGTAGATTAAAGGGTGGCCAAATTGGAGATAAAGCTCAGACTATGTGTTTTAAAGTCATGGGTGAATATTCCACAGTCAGTAACTAGAAAAATTGTATTTCCTGCAAAAAAAAAGCAATGTGAATGCTCATATATTATATTTTTGTTTTGCTGAAAGCTGTTAAAAGTTTAAACCAGCTGAAAATGTTTAATCACTAAACTGTTAATATGAGATGAATCTGAACAGCTGACATTTGCTGAAAGCAGGAAAATAAAAGCCGAGAGAGAGAGAGAGGCTGAATACAAAAACCTGAAATTAGCTAAAGTAAAGGGAGCTGAAAAAGCTAAACATAAAAAGCTGAAACTAGCAGAAAGAGGTTGAAATGAGCATAAAAAGTTATTTTTTTTCAAAAGAATTACAAAAAGTGGAAAATAGCACAAAGAAATGCAGACAAATTTAGCTGAAAAATACCTAAAAAAAAGTGGCTGAAAAAGCTGAAGAAACTGAATTTAACAGAAATAACCTACAAGGAGCTTAAAAAGCTAAAATTGGTAGAAAGAAGCTGAAAGGAGCAGAAATTAGCAAAAAGGAAGCTGAAATTAGCAGAAAAAGCAGAAAAAAGCTGAAATAAGCAGTAAAATGTTTTAAACAGCACAGAGAGCTCCGTTCATTTTCTATGAGGAAAAACATGGCTGAAACAGCTAAATATTTCAAAAAGTAAAAATTGCACATATACCAAAAGTCATAGAAGGAATGTCATGAATGAGCAGAGTGTATTGATATATGAATTGTTGAAATAGCACAAGAATTGTGGAACTTATGGAAGAAAAATGAATGGTAATACTACTCAATAGTGTGAATAATTTATAAACATTTGCACAATTAATAAAGACATGGAAGCCACAAAGAGTTTAAGTTTCATCAAGACATGGACTGCCCACTAAACACTGAAGCTCTGTGTTTTGATCTTATGCAGCATCACAGAAAGTGGAAGCATGATAATTCTGTGTTTACCTCTTGCACTACCGGTAATTGCAATGCCTTCAACATACAAATCTGTAGACATTCCAGAGTCAGAGTCAGAGTCTTTGGATTGAAACCTGTAAAGAAACAAAAAACAAACTAATGTTTTAATTTATACCGAGAACAAACAACAACGGGTATGAAAACATTTATATAAATCACCTGAAAGTTTTGCTGTGATGCTTGTCTTGATCAGTCTCTGACTGATATTTTCCAAAGTGGTGCTAGATTAAGGACAATATTAATAATTTGATTTAAAAGTGGAAACAAGACTGATCATATGATGTTTGTTACCTGTTGACACCAGTTTCGCACTAGCCTCTTCATCTCCTGGATATGACAGAAAGCACTGTTTACACATGGCGGGGGACTGCTGGACAAACCACAGCAGGCAGCCTGAAGGTCTGCTTGATCTTAAAGACAAAATATTAAAATATGTAAATTTAACTTTGATTCAACAATTTGCTATATGTTAATAATGTTAAACAGCTGTAATCGTCATCTCAGCCAAACTCAATCATAAAAGTTGTAATTTTAAGAAAAAATATGAGCAGAAAAGGCAGAGATTAGCTAATACCCATGTTATTAAGAGTATTTTGAAAAGTATTAACTGATATGCATTCATCTATTAAATATTTTGACCGTTTTGTTTGGTTTTTTTTTTTGCTTGTATTCTTTGACTTTGTTTATACTTTGATGATGGTGGGACAGCCTTAAACACAGCCAACAATGGGAGAAAAGGGAATTTTCCTGTGAACATCTGAAGACAAACCCTAGGGGAGATTTGTCTGTGGTGAAAGAGCGCCATCTGCCGGTTAAAAGGTGAAAAGCACACGCCTAAATGTAAATGTTATGAAAGCACCATTTGTTTTTTTGTTTTTGTTTTTTGTTTGTTTTTTAAGTTCTATTAAATGATTACTGGTTGTGGATTATATTGACTCATGCATATCCCTTTTGAATAAACTTTAAATTATAATGCTGGTCTGATGTTAAATCAGTATCAGCAATACAACAAGTTCAGATTATGAAAAAACATTTTAAAATATACATCCCTACGTAGAAGTATACAGCGACAAGCTTTGCTAGAGGTATACAACAAATTAAAAGAATTACTGTGAGTATACTGTGTAATTTAACCTCTTCTCAACATGTGTCAGAACACTAACAGCAAAAGTGATGTCAGGAGCTTTTAATGAAAAAATGGAAAGCTGTTAGCAATTTCTGAATAAAAATGCAGAAAACAGCTACAATACCATCAAAAAATGAAAACTGATTTTCAACAACAGCTATTGTTGTCATTTAATCATGTTAAAAGTTTGGTTAGTGTATAATGAGATGTGCACACATTGCCTATAAGGCAGAATAGAACAATTCAAGTTTTTTTTTTGTTTTTTTGTTTGTTTTGTATTTTATTATATGGTTTTATTTTAAAACTATTTTAATATTTTGTCCTTTTTATATGTAACTCTTGTCTTATTGCTTCAATATTATATAGAAATGAGCTTTGCAATGTCAAAAATCCAAAATGAACTGCCAGACTTCATCCATACATCTATCCATCCATCCAACCATCCTTTTATCTTTATCAGCTTTTTCCTTTTCAGGTCACAGGTGCACTGGTGCACATATCCACCAGTCACTGTGTGAGAGTTGGGGGACACCCTGGACAGGTCTCCAGTCCATCACAGGGACACAAAGAGACAACCGAGACAAACAACCATCCACTCTCTCTCTCACCTAGGGACAATTTAGAGCTACCAATCAGACTAACATGCATGTTTTTGGTCTGTGGGAGAAAACTAGAGTACCCGGAGAAAACGCGTGCCTGAACAGAGAGAACATGCAAACTCCACCCAGAAAGGCCCCTGACCTGGATTTCATCCTGCAACCTTCTCACTGAGAGGAAACAGCTCTATCAACTGAGCCACTGTGCCGCCACAGCCAGACTCAGAAATGATATGTTCAAGTTCAAGTTCAAGTCAAGTTTATTGTCATTTGCATCACATGTGGTACATGAGGTGGAATGAAATTATATACTCAGGGTCCCCGTTACATCCAAAAATTGCAAAAATATAAAGTATAAAAAGAACCAGTAAATAAGGATCTAAGATAAACACCAAGATATACACTAAACAAACGCCAAACGGTACGCTAAAAGAGCTAAGATATACGCTAAACACTAATAATGTAAAACAATATGGTGTAACAACAGCAGCCCGAACATGAGTCTGTGGTGAGCAGATGAATGAAAACAGCAGCATAAGATAATCAGCAGCATGAGATCAGCAGCATGCATCAGATCAGACAGAGCAGAAGTAAGAGCATTTATTTTCAGCGGACTAAAAGTCATCAAGACACTTTGGGTTTACAGCACCAGTCCAAAGCAGGTAATGTACTGTAATGTGTTGTAATGACTGGAGGAGGAGAAAGAGTCATTCAGTCTAAAATCCTGTGCTTCAGAACAGTAGACTGCCTTCACAAACCAGTTTGACCACTTTAATGGAGAAGAGTAATCAATCAATCAAAGATAAACAACTTCAGCTGCAAACTAGTTTTTACTACTGTAACTGTGCAATCATTTTTATAGTGCAATTTCAGGACAGCTCCTAAATAAAAGTTCCCGCAACAAGTGTCTCCATGTCTCCAAGTATCTCACAATGATGCGTCTGGCCTTAACGTCTTGTAGACAGTGACTTCTGCAACCTTTCCAATTACACAGTTAGTCTGCATTAAAGAGCTCTACACTGGCAGAGTGGGTGGTGTGTTAGTTGACACAGAGCGAAAACAGAGTTGGAGGAACTAAAGGGAAAGCAAAAAATGAAGACATCTGCTGTTGAACAGCTTGGATGAATAATACACTCGGAAAGAACTGAGTGGGGCAGGAAGGTGTTGTGACAATATGTCCGTGAAGGGCTGACATTTGCTTCAGATCATACAGACAGGATTATTATGAACACACAACCAATTCACAGGAGTCTGAGGCACTAATCAGATGGCATTAGACCAGTGATATTTAGATTACATGGCTTCATATCTTCAACAACAGTTATCAGCACTTCATTTTTATTCAGCCTTTATTTTCCCAAGATCTCACTGAGATACACCTCTTTTTAAGGTATAGTCTAAGTCAAAAGAATGTTTGTTATTTCCTTATCTGCACAACCATCTTGACCAAATACAGAAATATATGTGCATGTGTGGGCCTGCACAAGTTAAAAGCACAAAGCTGCATGACATGATAAATCAAAATGTTTAAAAACTCATCCTAACACAGGGGAATTAATGTTGGGGCTACAAAGAGAGGTAATTAAATTTAAACTAGATTTTTAAACATAAAAATAAGGTTTACAATTAGCTACTCTGTGTGCACAGTGTAAATTGTGAAAGCTACACATGCATTTACTGTAAAACAAGTTGGTCAACTAAACTGCATTCTTCGGACAGATGATGTGGGGCTACAAAGACATGTTCTGATGTCCACTTTTTTCAGCACTGAATAGATATTTGCTAAGATGATCTGTCAACCAAAATAAAGCATTGATGGACGTAAAATAAAGTTTGTTTATAATAAAAAAAAAACAACCACAATATTAAACTATAGCCCAATAGCTGTAAATGTAACTGAGTTAATGTTATTTTGTGTTCAGTTGAGCTGTGGAGGCCAAATTTAGTTGACTCCAAAAATTAATCAGTTGTGGCTGTATTTCCAGTGATTACTTTAGGGTATTTGTTTAATCTACCCAGGGATTCATGACATATTTTGCTAAAATAATAATAATAATAATAATAATAATAATAATAATAAATAAATAAAAACAGGGTCCACAGTAGAAGTAATTGCCAAAGTTTTAAGCAAAAAAAATCATGCACTGTAGCTCTTGAAGCATATGTTGAGGAGAATGCTCAGCTACCACATCAAACTGTCACCATTGAGGTTGCCATGTTGAAGGACTCAACTCTAGAAGTCAATCAGTTGGAGATGTCCATCTGATGATTACTTTCTGAAAGTTTAAACAAAATCCACCCAGTGGTTTATGTGATATTTGCTTTTGGCAGTGGGTGATATTCTCCCTATACTGACTATTATATCTTGTTTTTCCAGAACATTTCTGAAATAATAAGATATTCTGGAGTGGCAGAGAAGTATGTTAGACTGGTACATGTGAGGGCAGCAGGACAGTGGTGAGATGTGCTGTAGGAGTGACGTATAGCTTCAAGGTGGAGGTGGGAGTGCATCAAGGATCAGCTCTGAGCCCCTTCTTGTTTGTTCTGGTGATGGACTGACTAACAGATGAGGTCAGGCAGGAATCCCTGTGTGCTATGATGTTTGCAGATGACACTGTGATATGTGGTGAGAACAGGGAACAGGTGGAAGAGAACTTGGAGAGGTGGAGGTATGTACTTGGAAGAAGAGGAATGAAAGTCAGTCGTAGTAAGACAGAGTACATGTGTGTGAATGAGAGGGAGGAGGTGGAACAGTGAGGCTGCAAGGAGCAGAGGTCACAAAGGTGCAGGACTTCAAGTACTTGGGGTCCACTGTCCAGGAAAATGGGGAATGTGGTAAAGAAGTGAAAAAGAGAGTCCAGGCAGGATGGAGTGGACGGAGAAAAGTTTCAGGAGTGATTTGTGACAAAATGGTGTCAGCAAAGGTCAAAGGAAAAGTGTATAAGACAGTGGTGAGACCAGATATGTTGTATGGTTTGGAGACAGTGGCATTGACAAAAAGACAGGAGAAAGAACTGGAAGTGGCATAAATGAAGATGTTGAGGTTCTCCTTAGGAGTGACAAGGATGGATAAGTTTAGATAGAGATAATCAGAGGTACAGCGCAGGTTGAACAACTGATAAAGTTAGAGAGGCCAGACTGAAATGGTTTGGACATGTCCAGAAGGGGGACAGTGAGTATATCAGTAGAAGGTTGTTAGAAATGCAGCTGCCAGGAAAAAAGACAAAGAGGAGATGCAGTTAGAGAGGACATGGAGGTAGTTGGAGGACAGAGGATGCAGAGGACAGAGTGAGATGGAGGAGGATGACTCCCTGTGGAGACACCTGAAGAAGGAAAAGCCAAAAGAAGAAGATTTCCAGTAGATTTCTACAATTCAAATAACCACTTAAAGAAAATATTCACTGGATAGTTAATTAATCAACTAATTTTCTTGCTCACCTCCTTGTTGGGTTCGTCCTTCCCTGGATGGGATGAATGTGAGGGGTTCAACATCTGACATGATGGCTCAAACTCATCCAGGTGATGTGAATTAATTAGAGCATTATGAAGTTCCAAAAGAATATTATGTTGCTCGCCCGGGAGAAAAGTATCGTTACATCAAATACAAAGTATTATGACGTATTATTTAGAGCTAGAATCATTTCTCTCCCAATTGCGTCGTTAAAATCTTGGAAAAAATAAATAAAAGTTAGCACGAGCTAAACTGAGCCCTTCACTCATCTGCGGATACGTTAGCTCTCTTAGCTAAGGTTAAGTTCACGTTTAATTAACTATGCTAATTCAAAATTAATGAGCTGAGGGGGGTCGTTGTCATGGGAGAAAGTGAAAGCTAAAAAAAAAAATGTCTCTCGTATCAGCTTACTCAAATGTTGGCTGCCAGTTCTGCTTCTTGTCTGAACTGTTCCCTCTCTGTGAGACAACTCCTTCTGCCGTGTAAAAACAATACAATGCGTTGTTCTTATCAAAGTTTCCTCCTAATGATTCAACTGAAGTTTCCGCCAATCCTCTATGACGGTTGCTTAGCAACAATGGGGACGAGTTACGTTCAAGAACAGTTGTTCAACAACGTGTCGCATAAGGCCCATGTTAGAGGTGGGAATTAGAGATGACGTCATATATGAGCAGAGGAAGAAGCGCTACATTTATTGATATTAATTATATGCGCTTCGAGATGTTCTGATTTAGTAGACGATTCAGGGTTCGAGCGAAAATGCAACACGCGTAGGCTGAATGAAAAAACTTCATATTCGACTATCTTCCAATTTATATCCGCAATCCTTCCTCTGCGCATGTCCAAACCATCTCAGCTTCACCTTTCTGTCCTCAGCTTCACCTTTCTGTCTTCAAACCTACCACTCTCTGACCTGTCCCTCTGATATTTCTTAATCATGTTTATTAAAATGTTGCCACCTCCAGCTCTGCCTCCTGTCTTAGTGCCACCCTCTCCAAATCAAATCTCCCCTTTCACTGCAGTTCCCTTTTCTGGCACAAATCCCCCTCTAACATCTCTTGTGAACTGACCCTATCTACCTCTCTACGCCTTGCAGCTTCACTGTTACACCACCTGTCTCCCACTCATTCACAAACATTCTTGTCTTGTTTTTAATGACTGTCTTCTCTGCAGGGCAGATCTCCACCTCTCCATACTCTATTCCACCTGCTCCCTTCTTTCACTGTAGACCACATCTGTCACGTTCTGAACTCATTTCAACCTGTCCATCAGCACTGAAAACTGAAAGGGCTCAGAACTGATCCATGAATCATTCTCCCACCCACCAATCCACCTGTCACTCTTACAGGACATCTCTGTTTTGCTTGTCCTTGCACATGCAACACTTTAGTTTTAGCTTTAGCTATTGTTTTGCTGATTTTAACTTTAAGCTCTGGTTTGGGTAATGTTAGCTTTAAGTTTTGGCTTAAGTAATTAGAGCTTTTATAAGAACTTAGCTAATTTTAGCTTTAAAATATTATGCTACATTAAGCTTTCAGCTATGATAATTTATTTATTTTATTTTATTTTTTGCTCCTGTTTTGTCAATCTTAACTTTTAACTTCAGTTTAGTTCATTTTAGTTTTTTGTTGTTTTCTTATTTTTAACTTTTGGCTATGGTTTATTGGTTTTAATTTCATACTTCACTTTAGCTTTTACTTACTGTTTTGTAATTTTAGATTTTAGATGCTATTTTTGCTAATGTATAGCTTTTAAATAGGGTTTTGCTATATTAAGATTTTAGCATGGTTTTGTTAATTTTACTTTTTATCCATGGTTTATTTATTTTTATCTTTACCTTCTGTTTTATTCATTTTAGTTTTTAGTTACAGGTTTGTTAATTTTAGCTACTAGCTACTGCAATGTTAATTTTTAACTTTCACCTTTGGTTTATTTAATGTTAAATCTTGTTATATTAATTTTACGTTGATTAATTAATTTAAACTTTTTGCTACATTATTACTAATTTTAGCTTTTGTCCAAGTTTTGTTATTTTAGCTTTTGGCTATAGTTAAGTGGATTTTTTTGTTTGTTTGTTTATTTTGTTTTTTTACTTCATGTTTTGTACTTTTAGCTTTTAGCTGCTGTTTATCAAATTTTAGCTTTTAAGTTGGGTTTTGTTATGTTAAACTTTCAACCTGTTAATTTAACTTTTTATCCATGGTTTATAGGATTAGGAATGAGATAATCTGATTTACAGGGCAGGTTAGAGGCTACAGGTAAAGTTATTTCATTTTGTTGTATCTTTGGCTTGCAGATACAGTTTTGCTATAGACTATTAAGCTTTAAGATACGATTTTGTCATTTTCATATTTTTGATACCTTTTTTTATAGCTTTTTGCTGCTGCTTTGCTCATTTTAGCTTTTTGCTCCTGTTGTGCAATTTTTTTGTATTCAGCAAAACTTTAGCTATTTTTCGCTCATATGGGGTTTTGCTCATTTTAACCTCTCTGCTGCTCGTTTCAGCTTCATTACTGAGTTCATTAAATTTCAGTCTCCACACTTCCTTTCTGCAGAAAAAAAAAAAAAAACGCCATTTCTCCACTGGTCTCTCTGTCTTCGCATCTCTCGCGTGCAGCCACACTGGGCGCATGTGAAGAGATTCCGCATTACGTCATCGCGAGGCCACATACTGGAAGCAGCCGCTGCCTTGTTCTCTGCTCGGTCAGAGAGAGAGGAAGAAAAAAAAAACGTTTCCACAACACACAAGCTGCACCGGAGGAAACAGCCGCTTAGCTCGTGCAGGAATGCGGCGCTTCACACCAAAGACACCGTGATCGGACTCACTGCTGCCGGACGACACGGATTCCTCGACTGGGGAGGAAAAAAAAAAACCGAACAAAAACTGTCATGTTGCATGGACATGGCTCGGAACAAATTGTGGTAAGTCAGTGCGCTGCAGCAGCTGCTCTGCTGGAGGAGCGAGCTCAGCCTACTTTGAGTCTGAACGAGTTGGTCAAGTTTGGGAGGATGAAACGGGAGATTTGCTGCATTAGAGACGAGCTCCAGAAGAAGAGGGCAGGTGTCTCCATGGGAGGGTGACAGGTGATGCTGGAGCAGAGTGTTCTTAGTTAAAGGTGCCTGTTGCAGCTGTCCTGTTACAAACTGATCGTATTGTCTTACAGAACACAACATGACTCTATGCACAGCACTACATCTCTATTCAGGCTTGTGATTGAAATGCAAATGAGCGTGTATCACTTCACACAGTTGGACAAGAAGACACATGTTTGTTCATTCTGTCATGAATTCCTCCGCGTTGTAAACAAAATCCCCGTAAATTTGCAGCTGCTCTCAAGGTCCCAAAGTTGTTGCCCTTTTTGCAACCGAAGCCATGGTGATCACTGAGCAAAGAGGGGCCCTCCATCCCATATTTTAGCCTCTGCTACAGCACCAAAGCCCTACAGCTCGTGAACCCTCAAGTCTGTGCTGCAGCTTCTTGATTCCTCTCAGGGGATGGGATTTGGGTGTCAGTGTGGTTTGCAGTCTCGTGATGTAAAAATAACTCTGCCCAAACACTGGTAACTAACAGCTGCGATGCGACTCGTCCCAAAGCTAACAAGAAAGCTCGGGCAGCAACTCAAGTGAGTGTGTATGTCACAAGTTTATTGAGTAAATAGATTTTATTGAACTGCTTTTGGAAATGGAATCAAACGTGACTAATGAGTTACTATAGTAGTCATTCCCCCGAGACCCTACCTGCGTTTATATCCTTTATACTCATAACAGCATGAGATGAGTTTCTCTGCCTACCACAAATGAGGAGTAATGTTAGCTGGGTGGGTGCCAGGAATGAGATTCGGGGGGTCTCTGCAGCTGGAGAGAGCAAGCAGAGCAGCTCAAGAATGTTGAGGTCTTCTCATTTGTCGTTAAAGATAGAGGCAGCAGAGACGCCGTGTCCAGGGCGACAGCTTCTCATCTCAAATATCTTCAGAGAGACACATCCTCTTGGGTTGCCTTTGTTGTGATGCCTGAGAGAAACTTGGAAACTTGGACTATAAATGGTAAATGGACTATAGCGTCTTTCTAAAAGTGCTTTACGATCCAACCTCATGTAACCGTTCATACAGCACTCTGCTACATCTGTGCAAAGCTAATCTGAACCTGTAGACTAATCAGTGCTTTGGATCACATTCATACACTGCTGGGACACAGGTCAGAGGCAATGAGGGGTTCAGTGTCTTGCCCAAGGACTCTTCAGCATGTGACTGCTGGTGGAATCAAACCCCCAACTCTCCCATTAGAGGACGACTGCTCTAACCACTCAGCCACATCTGCCCCAAATATAAGGGAATTCAACCACGGTGCTTTTTAAAGGGTACCCCTCCCTCTATCATATACAAGTTGCATCATCTGAGCTGGTTTAATATCTCCTCTTCCAATAGATTGTATCCATCCTGGTTATTTCCGAGGGTGAAAAACGGACCACAGAAGGTCACGCTCAGGATGTTTGCTTGAGATGTGGAAGAGGATATTGATGAAAGTCTGTAAAAACTTTTACATCTGTCCCGTACCCACGTAATAAGCAGGCCTGGATATCTATCGCTCTCAACAGGATATAACTGGCTGCCAGTAGTGGGCTGAGATTTCTGTATTCATAACTGCATTCACAGTTACCTTATAAATACTGAAATGTCTGTTATGGCTGTCATTTAAAACACTGTGTAGCAGCAATAACCTGTTTTTAGTTGTTGTTGTTTTTTTTGTCATGTGAGGACATGAAGTCTTTATTTTTCTGTTTTATGTCTTAATGGCTGCACTGTGAGATGATGAGATCAAATGCTGCTCACCAATTGCTAAATTGTTATTTTGTTTTCTTGGACTTGATTTCAGAGTTTCCAACAACTGACTGGTTGTACTGGCAAACAAATGTAAAATGGACGATAGATTTATATTTTTTTTCCCCATTTGTTTGCTTTTTAACACTAGCTGAATGCTAATTTTGCACCTGATGGTAGTTGCAGTGTAATACTTTGGTCTAGCGATTAGTAATAATAATTTGAAATGTCATACTTGAATGAATGTTTTCTAGAATAAAATGGTTTTAGAGTAAGTTTCCTCTCAGTCAGCCCTACAAGCTTTATCTTAAAAGTTATTTAGAGGTGGAGAAACTTTCTATAAATGTTGTCCGTAATAGGTGGTTTGCGTGCGTGCGTGCGTGCGTGCGTGCGTGTGTGTGTGTGTGTTTTCAAACAGAGCAAATGGGATCTTTGCTGCCATGGCAACAAACCACATGACTAGGTGTATTAGATTGCCTTGAACAGTGTGCAATGAGGCATGGAGTGGGCATTCTGTCTACAGCTCTGCCTCTTTCAAAATCTTATTCTTATCTAACTTAAATTGTCCTAAATATTCCTGATGAGCTTTAAACTGTGATGGCTTCAAATGTCACAAAAATGTGTTTAAATGTGAGGCAAAAACTGTTCAACGTGCTGCAGGGCCCTGATGCAGAATGAACTGTAGACCCTTCCAGCAAACTTTTTGGAAAAGTCTCAACTTCACCAACTTTACCCTGAAAATAATAAATAAATCACTACTGAGTACAGTCATCCAGTGACTTTATTTTGTAAGGGGGGAAACATATCACAGAAAAACTACAGTAATATTTTCTGTTTAATGGCTTCAAATTGCAAAACAAAGTACAGTCGTCCCTCGCTATATCGCAGTTCACTTCTTGTGGCTTCACTGTATTGTGTGTTTTTTAAACCTGATTTTTTTATGTTGTGTGTACTGCACATGCTGTGCAGCATACGTTCATCTCATCATCTTCATCGCCATCGCCAAAGTGTTTGCATGCATATGAAGTGTTTATAAGAGAGTGATAAAGGTTAATGACAGTGGGAAAGTTTGTAGGAGTGTGAGAAAGGTTTATAAAGCCTTAAACCTATATAAATACGAAAATAAATATAACACCACTACTTTTCAGATTTTCACCTACCACTGGAACGTAACCCCCACCATGAACACAGCATTTACCTAAACTTAGGGTCAACTTTTAGTGGAATACCCTTTTGGTCCTTTTCTTGGCAGATGGCCACATATCTTTATTGTCTGAGGACTTTTTAAGACCAATTAGCAGAATCTTCTTAATCTTCTTCTTTCAGCTTTTCCCTCTTCAGGGGTCGCCACAGCGAGTCATCCTCCTCCATCTCACTCTGTCCTCTGCATCCTCTGTCCTCACTCCAACTACCTCCATGTCCTCTGTAACTGCATCCATATATCTGCTCTTTGTCTTTTTCCTGGCAGCTGCATTTCTAACATCCTTCTACCAGTATACCCACTGTCCCTCCTCTGGACATGTCCAAACCATCTCAGTCTGGCCTCTCTAACTTTATCTCCCAGTTGTTCAACCTGTGATGTACCTCTAATGAGCTCATTCACTCCTAAGGAGAACCTCAACATCTTCATTTTCACCACTTCCAGTTCTTTCTCTTATCTTTTTGTCAACGCCACTGTCTCCAGACCATACAACAGCTGGTCTCACAACTGTCTTGTAAACTTTTCTTTGGACCTTTGCTGACACCCTTTTGTCACAAATCACTCCTGAAACTTTTCTCCATCCACTCCATCTTGTCTGGACTCTCTTTTTCACTTCTTCACCACACTCCCCATTTTCCTGTACAGTGGACCCCCAGTGCTTGAAGTCCTGCACCTTTGTGACCTCTGCTCTTTGTAGCCTCACTGTTCCATCTCCTCCCTCTCATTCACACACGTACTCTGTCTTACTACGACTGACTTTAATTCCTCTTCTTTCAATTGCATACTACCACCTCTCCAAGTTCTCTTCCACCTGTTCGCTGTTCTCACCACAGATCACAGTGTCATCTGCAAACATCATAGTCCACGGGGATTCCTACCTGACCTTATCTGTTAGTCGATCCATCACCAGAGCAAACAAAGAGGGGCTCAGAGCTGATCCTTGATGCACGCCCACCTCCACCTTGAAACTATCTGTCACTCCTACAACACATCTCACCTCTGTCCTGCTGTCCTCATACATGTACCAGTCTAACATACTTCTCTGCCATTCCAGATTTCCTCATGCAATCTGGATTTTCTGCACTTATGTTTATTTAAACCATGTTACTTTTAGTTTTCTGTATTTTTGCCTGGTCATCTTATGAGGTCTACCAACTTCTTTCACTGTGTTTTAACCCACACATCTCTTGTTGGGGTCATGTTTTCTGTCAGTGGTGCATCTCTGTAAGTCACTCCAGAGACTCATTTGCATAGTTAGAGTTGTGCAAATGCATATTTCTAAAATGCAAATCATGCATGTTATATCAATTCATCCTTATAATAGAGTGACTATTTAATCATTTTTCATATACAATGATTTGGACATTTTTGCAGAATGTTTTAAGACGATGTGTACAGTACTGCATCATATATGGAATTATTTTTTATGAATGTGCAAAAAATTTGAGTAAACATTCTGCAGAAATAAAATAAAAAATTCCAGGAGTTGTAGCTTTGTGAAAATCTATCAACAGTAACAATTTTTTTATGCTTGACTTCCTTTTTATAGCCTCTACAAATGCAAAAACATAAGAGCAAATCTGTCAGCATGAGTGTATTGCGTGCTTACAGTTCTGGTTAGCTCAGCTGGCTAGCTCAAGTGGGTACAAGAGCAATAATGATGATGGACATAGCCTCTGGGTCTGAAAAGTGATGCCAATGAAGAATTTATTTGAAGCCTGCAATATTTCTAATGACAGACAGGGGATAACGCTTTAAGTACAAAAACACGTTTTTATGATCAGGGCTTAGCTTGGATTATTCTATCAATGCTCATTTTTGTGTATTGACCTTTGAGGTTAACAGGTACAAAAATAAAATTAACTTACCAACACAAGAACAACATTCTTTTATTGTTGGATTATTCAGGTTACCAGACTGGAAGAAACATTTTTTCTGTCCGAGTCCTACAGTTTTACCTTCAGTCCTACCACAATACAAGTTCATAAGTTGCAAAGACTTTGTGTGTAACAGCAGTCTAAAAGTGACTGTACGACAATTCACTTAATTTTATTGATCATGTCTTCAGCAGCAAATACCTGTACACAGAAGTCCCTCGTTTATTGCGGGGGATCCGTACCCTGAAGCCCCACGATAAGTGAAAAACAGCAAAGTAGGACTAGTAGTACAAGTAGTAAGTAGTATTTTATAGTAGTATATATATATATATATATATAAAGGCGTTTTAAACCCTTCCCTCACTCTTGTAATATTCTAAGCAATGTTTTCTAAACTCTAAAAGAACACAGATTGTCATGATTTCAGCTCTCTGCCTCTGGCTGCACTCTCGGCCTTCTCCATTCTGCATGGAGATCAGCTGATCAGCTGCAGGAGGAAGGTTCTCCCCTAGTTGCAGGCTGCACACAGGTGCTAAATCATTTAAAATAATTTATTTTAAATAAAAAAATCCATGCCAATCCTGTGGCTCATCCATCAATCATCTGTTGTGTGTCATGTCCAGTCTTACTTTGAAAACCCGCGATAGAGCGAGTCTGCGAAAAACGAACCGTGTCGTAGCGAGGGACTACTGTATAGCTACAATTTAAAGGCTTTTCTACCCTTTATTAAAAAAAACTTAATGCTTAAAAAGCCACTTATTTATTTATTTTTTAATTAACTGGCAATGTTATAGTAAAAATTTCAAGTGTTTAGTAAAAATGAAATATGGTATTGCCAAGGATGATGTTCAGCAAAAATAAAACAGAGTGCTTATTGTAAGGCACCACATTATTCATTATTACAATATATCCACCTCAGTAATCAAACTGTGTCTGAAGCATAAATTACTAGTGAAACTTTTAAAATTGTGTGAAGTGTTTGAGAATTCAGTTGCATTTAGTGGTTAATTTACAGACCAATAAAATAAATTAATAATTAGAAGCAAAGTATTTTATGACCAAATAATGTTATTATTGAAACGTAATGCTGCAGCTCCGGGACTCTGACATCACTCTCTCTGCTCTTGATCAGAATGATTGAAGACTGCCGGCGGAGGGCTGACAACATGGCAGACAGAAGGCAACTGTATGTGGAGATGAGTAAGTGCTCAGGGCCACAGTTCACTGTGACGCAAGCCGAACTGTTTGACTCACTGACCAGAAAAAATATACATTTATTTTCCTATTGAGCATCTATCTATTGGTATCAACAAAAGTGGTTTTAATTGCTCATAGACAGAGTTGACATAGTTTCTCACACTTAAAAGTGTTCATGGAAATATTGTTAAGCATTTATTAGCCTTACCTGCTGAAGTAAACTCACCTGATATTTAGTAAGAAGAGGGGTTCAACCTGGATGTGACAGTGACGTCTAACAGTTTCAAATGAGCAAAAATGTTTGGGTAATGCCCACATTGTGCTCCAGAAAAGGTGCTAAAATAGATATAATTAAAAGTGAACAACAACACAATGACATTCATAAATTATTGTTAGTAGAGTTTGGTTGTATTGTTTAACAAAACTTAATCATATGCATGGACTTTGTGGTTTAAATGGCAATTGATTATAAAATTAAAATAATTCCCCTAAAGCAACATGTACTCTGAACTCTAACAGATGTTTTAGGATACAAAGAAAGTTTGATGATTCCTTATTTACTTGAGTGTATGAACACATCAAAAGTTAAAGCATTGATAAAGGGAAATTACAACCTTGTTTGAAAGCAACCTCCTAACAAGTGAGGAATTTCTAGATATTTTTACTCAATTAAGATCATTCCTAGGAAAAACATTTAATTCTGAATTTCTGGAGTAAACAAACTTCCAATATCAAAACTATCAGAGAACTTCAGCTTTTAGCCTTCATTATTTTAGTCTTCAGTTAATCCAAAATACTGCTGCCAGAGTCTTTACTGGAGTTAGTAGGAGAGATCATATCTCTCCAGTTTTAGCTTCTCTCCATTGGCTCCCTGTCAAATTCAGAATTTAATTCAAAATCTTATTTCTAACCTACAAATCCCTCAACAACCTAGCTCCATCTTGTATTAGATATCTTATTGTTCCATAGTTTCCCAACAGAGCACTTTGCTCTCAAACTGCATGTTTACTTGTGGTTCCTAGAGTTTCCAAAAGCAGAATGGGAGGAAGATCTTTCAGTTATCAGGCTCCTCTCTCGTGGAACCAACTTCCAGTTTCTGTCTGTGAGGCTGACACATTGTCCAGTTTTAAGACTGGGATTAAGATTTTTCTTTTTGATAAATCCTATAGTTAGGGTTGGCTTGTTATGCTGCTATAGACTTAGACTACTGGAAGACAAATTGACCTCATTTTTTAAAATTAATTGCTAAAATTGAATACTTTTCATTTGATACCATTTCTGTCTTGACCTGTAATTTTCGACCTGCCATTGTGTATCTGTTCCTACCAAACCCAGCCGATCGAAGCAGATGGCTGCTTGTCCTGAGCCTGGTTCTGCTAAAGGTTTCTTCCTCATGAGGGAGTTTTTTTTCTGTTTCCACTGTCACCTTCATGCTTGCTCAAGATGAGAGTTCTGTGATGAAGTTAAATTCAAAGCAGTCTGCTCCTCAAATAAATAATATTGTTAACTTATTTTTTATATATATGCTATGAATGTTTCTGTTCAGTGCTCTGAGACGACTTCTGTTGTGACTTGGCGCTATAGAAATAAACTGAATTGAACTGAATAGTCTTTACCCTCATGTTGATTGTGTAAAAGCAACTCTAGATTCTGCTATATTTGGTTTAGGAGGCAGAGCCATACTCCAGGTTAGGCACGCGTCAGATATTCAGTCACTTTTCCTTTTCTTTTGTTTTATTTTCAGTTTTATTTAATGGTCATATCTTCCTCAGGGGCCCAGGATTTGGATTCCATACGGTTGTCAACATACAGAACAGCCTGTAAACTCAGATTTGTGCAGAAGAAATGCAACTGTGAGTCGAATCCCGTTCACATTTCACTCCACTCGCACAAAAGCCCCTCCAGACAGGATGATTATGTCGTGTCGCTCTGTTTCCAGTGCACTTGGTCGATATTTGGAACGTCATTGAAGCTTTCCGTGAGAACGGCCTGAACAACATGGAGCCCAGCGCTGAGCTCGCTGTGGCCCGTCTAGAAGTGGTGCTGTCCACTATCTTCTACCAGCTGAGCAAACGCATGCCCACCACTCACCAGATCAACGTGGAGCAGTCCATCAGCCTGCTGCTCAACTTCCTGCTGGCGGCCTACGACCCGTAAGTAACCCATCACATGACGGTCAGAAACTTTCACATCGGAGGTTTTGACGGGAGCAAATGAAGCGTGAAATGTTGGCGTAATGTGTCAGCCAAGATGAGAAAACATTTGTGTCAGTAATATCACAGCATGTGGGTGCACTCTCCTTTTCTTTGTTTTTCTCCCTTTTTTAAGTATATTTGATGCTAAAAGTCAAATAAAATGCAGGCTGACAATCAGATTAATAGATTTTTCTTTATCTTTAAGAGTTGAAATCTATGGCTGGGAGGATTTTGGTTTTCATGTATCAATTTAAAGGGTTTATGTTTTTTTTGTTTTTTTTTAGGGAAGCTCATGGCAAGATGTGTGTTTTCGTTGTGAAGATTGTCCTTGCAACCATCTGCGGAGGGAAAATAATGGATAAGCTGAGATGTAAGAAACAACTTTTAATGCTGCAAAGCATTTAAATCATCTACTTCTTAGAAGAAAAAAAACAATGATTTTATAAACTTTACATTTTCTAGTCTAATGTGCTGTGTTACATTTAATATTACAAAGTACAATCTTATTGCTGGTTGTACTTTCTGTGTGTCGTGTAGTTTTACACACATAGCAGTTCATTTCTAGCTGGTGCTCTGCACAAGACATTATTTATTATGTGATAGGTTGGAGTTTATTAAATAATGTACTAAATCTGTGGGAGTAGCAGCTTGTAAGAGAAAAAAAAAAAGAGGAGAGCTGGCGTGTCGTTCCAGCTGATCATTATAACTGCTTTACTTTGATGTGTTTACACAAACAAGTGGGATAATTGTATTGTGTGATTCTGTAATTAGCCAACTGTTGTTGCAACTGGTGATTAGCTCAATTAATTTGTATTAAGCCTCCCCCTTATTGTTTCCAGATATCTTTTCCCAGATATCAGATTCTGCTGGAATATTGGTGCATTCGCAGTTTGACCAGTTTCTGCGGGAAGTTCTGAAATTGCCCATGGCGGTGTTTGAGGGGCCTTCTTTTGGCTACACCGAACAAGCTGCTCGGGCGTGTTTCGCGCAGCAGGTGAGGGCTCGTTAACCACAGTTTGGAACATTGGTTATTGTCGTTGTGTTGAGATGACTCTCGCTCTCTATCGTCAAAAGAAAAAGGTCTCCCTCAACATGTTCCTCGACACGCTGATGTCAGACCCGCCTCCTCAGTGCTTGGTGTGGTTGCCGCTCATGCATCGGCTCGCCAACGTGGAGAACGGTGAGATGAGGGAACGCATGTGAGAAATGCAAAGTTCAGCTCGGCATCACAATCACACGATTATTCTGACACGCACGCCTTAAAAACCTGTGCGTGCACACATCCGCTCACTGACATTACGCGCCGAGTGTGAGTGTGTATCTGCGATGCAGTCATCATCACAAGCATGTGAGCGGAAGAAACACGCGCGCACGTATTGAGCTCGGGCTGCGCTGCTAGGCAAGCAACTTTCAACGAAACACGACCGATATCTCACCACAACTGTCCTAATATTAATGAAAATTAATCCTGTCCTCCCTGCAGTGTACAAAACATCCCAGTTATTGTCACATCTGTTTATGTGTTTGTTTGTTTGTTTGTGTATGCGTGCCCCTCCTCTCTCCACCCCCCACCCCCCACCCCCTGCAGTCTTTCACCCGGTCGAGTGCTCCTACTGCCACACTGAGAGTATGATGGGCTTCCGCTATCGCTGCCAGCAATGTCATAATTACCAGCTCTGTCAGGACTGCTTCTGGAGGGGGCATGCCAGTGGTTCCCATAGCAACCAGCACCAAATGAAGGAGTATACGTCATGGGTAAGGAAGGAGGAGGGGAGGCTAGGGAGGTGTGTCTGCATTAGGCCAGTCATTGAGGCTATTTTTACTCTGCTTGTAAGGATGCTGAGCGTTGGACATCAGGGACAGTATTCCTGCACTGATGCCACACGTTTAATGAAATAAAACCGTCCTCACATGTCACGTCTGTGTTCCTCCTGCAGAAATCCCCGGCTAAGAAGTTATCCCATGTCCTCAGTAAGTCACTGAGCTGTGCATCCAGCAGAGAGCCCCTCCACCCCATGTTTCCTGAAATGCCAGACAAACCTCTCAATCTAGCTCATATTGTGTGAGTTCATCTCCTTTCTTGTAAGCAGCTTAAAGTGATTCCAGTCAATCTTTTGGGTGAACTGATCAAAATAGTTCAATTATAACCTCGAGGTTAATTATTATCTACAACTGTGCATTTATATTTTGTTTTGTGATACATCATGAAACAGACAAATAAAGTTTTAGCATTTCTTGAAAGAATGCATGCAGTAGTCCCTCGTTTATAGCGAGGGATCCGTACCCTGAAGCCATGCGATAAGTGAAAAACTGCGAAGTGGGAATAGTACAAGTAGTAGGTAATTTTAGTATTTATATATATAAAGGTGTTTTAAATCCTGCACGCACTCTTGCAATATTCTAAACAATGTTTCTAAACTCTAAACACTCTAAAAGAGCACAGAATGTCATGATTTCAGCTCCTTGCCTCCTCTGCTCTTTGTCACCTGCAAGTGCTCTTGGCCACGCCCACTTCTCCGCTTTGCATGAAGAACAGCTGATCAGCTGCAACAGGAAGTTTATCCTGCAGTAAGGGTTGCACAAAGGTGCAGGAGGAAGCTTTGACTGCAGCTCTGGGTTGCACAAATTTGAAGCAGATGCGAAATTATTTAAAATAATTTATTTTAAATAAAAATTCCATGCCGCTTGTGCGGCTCATCCATCAATCAGCCAACTGTGTCGTGTCCAATCTTATTTTGAAAAACCGCGATAGAGCGAGTCCACGATAAACGAACCGCAAAGTAGCGAGGGACTACTGTATAGCCTTTTTCCGTATTGTCATTTTATGAGAAATGATAGATTGCTCCTAATTTAGTCAAATCTTAAAAATGACACTGCAATCTCATCTCCTCTGTGGTCCACACTGCGCTCAACCACCTGGAGCAGAAAAACTCTTAGGTCCGTATGCTCTTTGTCGACTTCACATCCGCCTTCAACACCATGATCCCCCAAACCCTGATGGACAAACTAGCCACACTAGGACTAAGCCCCTCCATTTGCAACTGGGTACAAGACTTCTTAACAAACAGACCACAGTTAGTGAGGATCCACAACTTCTCCTCCTCCACCATAACCCTCAGCACTGGCTCTCCTCAGGGATGTGTGTTGAGCCCCCTCCTGTTTACTCTGCTCACGTATGATTGTGCAGCTACCCATCCAGGCTGTCACATTGTAAAGTTTGCAGATGATACAGCGGTGGTGGGATGCATCACAAACAATGATGAGTCCAGCTACAGGCAAGAGGTGGAACACCTGGAGAGCTGGTGCAAAGAGAATAACCTTCACATCAATGTGAAGAAGACAAAGGAGATGATTGTGGACTTCAGAAGGAACAAAAACATCTACTCCCCCCTGAACATAAGAGGATCTGCGGTGGAAGTGGTCTCCAGCTACAAGTACTTGGGTGTACACATGAATGACAACCTCAGCTGGAGCAACAACACCACCAGCCTGATCAAGAAAGCTCATCAGAGACTCTACTTCCTCAGGCGGCTGAGGCGAGCTGGTCTGGGAAGCTCAGTCCTCACCTCCTTCTACAGGTGTGCAGTGGAGAGCATCCTGTGCTCCAGCATCAACGTGTGGCATGGAGGCTGCACAGCTGCAAAAAGAAAAACTCTGCAGAGTGGTGAAGACTGCACAGAAGACCGTCGGAGTCAGCCTCCCCACCATCACAGACATCTACACCTCTAGATGCAGGAAGAGGGCTACCTGCATCATGAAGGACCTCACTCACCCAGCACACACACTTTTTGCCCCACTCCCCTCAGGAAGGAGGTTGAGGAGTGTTAAGTGTAGAACCACTAGACTGAGGAACAGCGTCTACCCTGAGGCTGACTCATGAATCTCTAACCAGAATAATCACTGTGAAAAACCACATCATGTTGCTGCTGATCTGTTTCAATGTTGATGTGTTCATGCGTGCACATCCGCACACACAGACCCATGTTCATGTTTGTGCTGATGTTAAATGTTTTTATGTTATGAGTGTTTAGTGTATATTTAGTTGATGTTTTTCTTAGTTCATATCTTAGTTGTTATTACTGTTTTTCTTATACATTTTATTGTTGGATGTAACTGGGACCCTGTGTACATAATTTCGCTCCACCACATGTACCACATGAGGTGCGAATGACAATAAAGAATCTCTGACTCTGACTCTTTTATAAGTGCAAAATTGATTGTGGTCTTGCATGATTGATTGGTGTGTGGAGTATGTGCTATAATTTACTCTCAGCTACTACCACATCAAATGTTAGCTCAGTATCTGTGAAACCAGCTGAGTTATAGACATTTTAGTGTGGGCAGATATTGATTAGCTGTAGCAGCCATATTAAATGGGTTGACTCTAGAAGTTAATAACCTGTAGATGTAAATCCAATTATTACTATCTGAAAGTTTTAATAAAATACATCCAGTGGTTGATGAGGTATTTTACTAACAAATGGGGTTGTTTTAAACGAAGACGTCCTGTTGCTGCCCTCAAAATGTGTGTTGGGGCTGTGCTCACCCTCTACCACACCAAATTTTACTTTGATATCTGTAAAAGTGCTTCAATCGTGAACTTTTTGTGTTTAGTTTTGTGTGTTTTGTGCAATAATAAAATAGATTTTAGAACTCTGATTGTAAAAGAAAAGGCCTTAAGACTTCATTTTGCAATTACCATATTTTCCTGACTATAAGTTGCACCAGATTATAAGGCGCATTAAGCGAAACAAAACAGTCAGATAAGTCCAAATTTATTCAACTCTTTCACAATAACAACATAAAATCGGTTCGAGGTCAGTAAACACATTAATACATAAGGCACACCTGATTATAAGGCTCACTGTCAATTTTTGAGATAATTAAAGGATTTTAAATGCGCCCTATAGTCCAAAAAATACGGTAAGTTGCATTTAGGGTTGAAAATCTACAAAATCTTTTGTGACGTTTGAACAATAACTTGTTCAAATTTCATTATTCAGTGACAGCATGCATCTGTATTTGGTGTTGGATGATTAAGTAAAAATAATATTTGAAATGAAGAATTGTGTCTTTTTCAGTGTGGTACAAACTGACTACACACTGAACAGCATTTAAAAGTCCACGTTTCTGTACAGCCTGAAAAACTTCATTAATTCTCCACTTTTTGCCCCCATTTTCTTGTTTCTGGTTTTGTGTAATACATTGGATTTTTATTTTAAAATGCTAATTCTGTATGCCATCAAAACAAAAGAGCCTGTTTGTGTGAGACTCTGCCTCTCAGCATTTTACTTGCTGTAGTGACTGCGTCTAAATTATCTTAGTAACAATCTCATCTCAGGACCGCTGATGGAAATTAGCCAATGGCTAAATCAGATATAATGCAATAGCTTCTTTTGGAGTGTACTTTCATTGTGCATGGTCTCAAATAAAAAAATATATATATACAATAAACCAAAGCTGGCCAGATTCTGTGCTCCAAGATTCAGCTTCTGTGTCAAATTTTCAGGAACAAAAAGGAAACAGCTTTAGTCCTGAAATGTTCCTGGCCTTGCCGTCTACATTTCTTGTCTTCAAAAACTTGCTGAGAAACAATAAAAACTAATTTAGATTTGTGAAGACGTCAGGAAACTATAACAGAAGGCCAAAACAATTTTTTTTTAAAGTAGCTCATAAATTGCAGAAACAGCGTCTTATTGTCTTGGATCAAACGTGCCACTTTGAACTCCGACTGCCTGCTTTTCTGTTATTTTTACCTGAAGATGTGTAATTTAGTTGAGGAAAACCTGGATTTTTTTTCTTTCTTGTTCTCAAATAATTATGCCTGCGTAGTTACACACATGCACATTCAGTCAGCCCAGTTTGTGTAAGCTGAGCAGAAAATCCACAGCAGGTGGAGAGAAGCCGTGCACGCTGGTGAGAAAATTAATGTGCTGCTATTTCTTTGCGTCTCCAATGTTTGCTCAGAGACTACGGCAAAAGCAATGTACTAAAATAAATGTTAAACCATAATACTGCATGGTAGTTAACTTAAAACTTTGTTTCACATCTAAATCATTTAAGGAAATTAATTTAATGTGAATTATTTTTTTTCTTTATAGTGTGTATTTTTCCATGCAGTGTGTTATTGTCCTGTTCTCCCAGGCAGCTCGTAATAATGTATTTCTTTCTTTTTCATATTCCACATACTAGAGACACGTGGTGAGTTTGGTTTGTTTACATTTTGCTGTGGTTTGACTAATTTAGTCACGTTTTCATTTACTGACTGTTCAAACGCTTCTCTGGTGATTCTCTAACTCGTCATTTCATTCTTGCATGTGTTCAGCATGACACATATCTAATCCTAATTGGTGTTATGATATAATATGTGAGTCATCTACTGAAGGGAATGTCACATTTAAGGGGAAAGTAGTAATAATGCAAAGGAAAATACACCGTTTTCCCATAAATGTAAGGCAGTCTTGTCAGTTTGTGTGACAAATAACATTAATTTCCCACCACAGGCCACCGAGACCAGCGAACATCACCAATGACTACTCCTTCTCTCACTCCATGCCTACATCAGGGAACCCTTACTCCACCAAAAAGTGAGTACAGCCTTGCTAACAAAGGATGTCCTGGATTTTACAACAGATCTTTTCAGCATGTCACATTCCCTTAAGGCTCTCTGACCCGTGCTGTCTTTTATTCCTATACTGGTTAAAGTGTGTGTTGGTGCGCGAGAACATTTGTGTGTAGTCATTTTCTGTGGAGCTGAATGTAAATGGCTTGCCTTACAGCCTGAATAATGATGTTGAGAGAAAAACGCCCCTCATTGGGGCTGCTCCACACCTGTTGAAAGGGAAAGGGTAAGTGATGCAGGTGTGCATTTGAGAATGTCTTTCTACTGCAAAAAAGCACGTGTGGACTAATTAAATAGGAATTATCAGCCGTCGTTAAGAGTGTTTTCCTTTTTGGTTGTTCTTTTCATTAAATTTTTTTGCAATCCTTGCATTTTGCACTCGAGGTTGATTTTGTGAGGATTATTTGTTATCAATTAGAAGTTTCTATTATAAGCTTTCATTCCCACAGAACAGTAGCTGCCAGCTAAAAGAAACATATGTTACTATATGTCTGTTTCAGCTACACAGTAACATTTCATATTAGTATCAAATGTAAGTAGATTAATAATGTATTAGATTATTCAGATCAAATGGGATTATTTGTATGAAGTCAACTTTCACGGGATTGTTTTCCTGTTTAATATTTCTAGTTTTTTGGGGACTCAAATCTACATTCTTTGTGTAATTTTAATAATTCTTGTGTCAAAGCATTCAAGTTGATTGAAAATGCTGCACTGTGACTTTTGGTGTTTGTAACTTTTATACTTTTCAAAATATTTGATTTTATTTAAGATCAAATTCCTCGTAAAGTCATTGAGATCTTTTTAAAATACCTTTAAAAACATTTTCTTTGAAACTGCTTCAGCATACTCATCCTGTTTTTGTCTTATTATGCTACTTTTAGTTTTCAGCTGCTGTTTTGTTACTTTTAGCTACTGTTCTACTACTTTTAGCTGTTAGCTACTGTTATGCTCTGGTTAGCTTTCAGCTTTTATTCTGCTCACTTTTAGCTTTCTGTTTATCCACTTTTAGCTGCTATAGTACAAATATCAGCTTTTAGCTACATGTTTGCTTATTTTAGCTTTTAGGAATTGCTTTTCTAATTTAAAATCTGTTTTGCTTGTTTTAATAAATGAGGTTCAGCTTCTTCAACAAATTTCTGAGCTCAGCATTCAGACTGCATTTCACAGAAAATGTAATTTCTTTAGTTTGATTTTTGGAATGCTAACATTGACAATAGAAGCCAATAAAGACAACTTTTATTATTATAATTATTATTATTATTATTATTATTATTATTATTATTATTATGCTTAGACCAGTGGTTCCCAACCCTGGTCCTTGAGGAACTACATTACTGCATGTTTTAGTTGTTTCTCTGCTCCAGCACACCTGATTCAATTGTTTAATTACTTCCTCAAGTTCTGCAGAAGCCTGTTAATCACACATTCATTCATGCCACTTGTATCAAAGCAGGGAAACATGCAAGGTGGTGTTCCTCAAGGACTATGGTTGGGAACCACTGGCTTAGACACTAGCAGCGTGTCCTGCTTTGTCGGCTGTTTTTTCTGAAGACTGTCAGCTTTTTGGTGCAAAACAATCATTGTCTAATAAAGCTAATGAACTCATATTGATAACATGACAGTTTTTACAAGTTTATTTTCATATTTTTCTGGTTTTGCTGTTGTCAATTAACTGTAACTGACACACTGTTTGTATTAGTTCATGATATTGTTGGAAAGCTTGTTGACATCGTTTTAAACATAACGCTCTTGCCCAGTTGTAGATGTATATTCTGTGATTACTTTCTGAGTTTCATTCAGTTCATGTAACAATTTGCCAACAGACTAATGAACGCTCAGACTCACACAGAGACATGGAGGAATACATGATCACTTGCCTTTCACAGTGGCAGGAGATCATTATAGGAGCTACATCAAAACAAACTTTGCATTCTTTGCATTTACAAGCTTAAACTTTAAAACAAAGTTTTCTTTTTGCATGGCATGTCTTTAGTTGTGCATTTTAGCCTCGATGAGTTGTCTCACCCAAATATAATATAGCCTTGTTCCTCTCTAGTCACCCGTGGTTCGCTGCTTTTCAGCCACTCCCCTCCTCTGCTCTTTTGTTGTCCTTCCCCCCCACCCCCACCTCCAGCTTTCCCCTCCCGCTTGTCCCCTGACTACCCCTACGTCACCTGTGTAACATAATGTTTTATGTTTTGTGAAACCCACACCGTTCCAGGTTGAAGTACAACCTCGATGTTGCCGATAGACTCGCTGACGAACACGTTCTCATTGGCGTCTATGTGAATCTGCTCCAAAACAACCCCCACACATGGTTAGTTGGTGTGCCGCTGCGCTTGGGAAGACAGCAGAGGACACAGTGTGCTCTGCTGAACTGCCACCTCATGACCTTTTCCCTAACCTCGAGGATTTCTGAGCGTGTTGCGGTCCTAACACTGCATGCTGTCAGAGACAACATGCAGACTGTTTACCATGACCTCAAATGTTAATGTCATCTCATCATCATCATTATCTTCATTACTGTTACTTTTATTGTTATTATAGAGCAACGATAAGATGACTAGACATAAAGGCTCCGTTTAAATCTGATCTGTTGTAGCTAGTTTTGTATCATTACAGGCGCTTCAATCAAATTCTGCACTTATGGGAACGATTCTGATTGAAGTGTGGTTTTGTTGAAACTTCTGTGGAAACTATTGATACCTTCTCTGTGGCAGATAGCTCTTCGAATAACCACAGTTTGAAGTTTAATTCTAACCAGATTGACAGAGCTAATGGTTAGTTTAAGTAGGGACAAGATCAGAACGGTTTGCTGCCATGGTAAAATAATTCAAATTTAAAAGGAACCATAGATTTTTATGAAAATGCTACTTTTTTTAACTTTTACACCACCAATAGTTCCAAAATCCATGTTTATTACACCAGAAATAATATATTCCTGCAGAAAGTGACCCGGGCTACATCAGAAGCGTTACAGCTAATTTGCAGGCTTGCAACAATGAAAACAAAGCAACAATGAAATAAAAAGCATACAAAGTAAAACTGACAGTATTACGGTTAATGTAAGTGTTTAGATGAACTGCTATGACATTTCAGATCAAAGTTGTTTCATGAGCTCTTGATTATGAGATAAAAAGATGGAGGAAAATTGGGAATATATAAATTTTAAGCACACTTGTGTTCTTCACAGACATCAGAGCAACAGTCCCATTGACATGCCTGGTTGATGTTGAGTCAGTTGCATTAAGCTTTAATGTAGGAGACCAGAGCTCAAACCTTGTCAAAGTTTTTCATTATATTTTTTCAAACAAACCATTACAAAAGGCCACAATTTATTACTTTTAGTCCATATTGAGTTCAGTTTTAGCCTATACCTCTGTTCAATAAAAAAAATCAACTATAATGAGCTCTGGGTGTCAATATAAGATCAACATAAATATATTTATATTCCAACGTTTCTGCAGATACAGTAGTCTTTCGTTTATTGTGGGGGTTTCAATTCTCAGTCTCCCCGCGATAAGTAAAAAACTGCGAAGTAGGATAGTAGTATAAGTAGTAAGTAGTAGTTTATGTTATTACTATATATATATATATAGTAATTCTCTGGCTTGAAAATACATGTCTCTAAGCCACACTTAGTAAATATAAGATAAATCATAATTGTGTACAGTGGTCCTTCGTTTATCGCGGGGGATCCATACCCTGAAGACCTGTGATAAGTGAAAAACCGTGAAGTAGGGATAGTAGTACAAGTAGTAAGTAGTAGTTTATTTTATTATATATATAAGGCGTTTCAAACCCTTCCCACACTCTTGCAATATTCTAAACAATATTTCTAAACTCTAAATGCTCTAAAAGAGCACAGAATGTCATGATCTCAGCTCCCTGCCTCCTCTGCCACCTGCAAGTGCTCTTGGCCACGCCCACTCCTCCGCTCTGCACAGTGAACAGCTGATCAGCTGCAGCAGGAAGTTTATCCTGCAGTATGGGCTGCACCAATGTGCAGCAGGTGCTAAATAATTTTAAACAATTTATATTTAATAAAAAATTCCATGCCGGACGTGCAGCTCATCCATCTATCAGCCAATTGTGTGTCATGTCCAATCTTATTTGGAAAACCGTTATATAGTCTACAATAAACAGTACACTACTTAGACACTCTAGCTACTATACCACAGGAATCCACTTTTCATTGTTGGAGTCTGTGCCCCCAATCTCATCTGACTGTAAAGTTTTTAAGTAATACAAAACCAGGTAACAGCTTGTTTTACAGAATCCAGCTGTTTACAACACATGCTTAGACTGCTAGGTTGTCACGAGTCTTTGTGAAGCTTTGCTAGCATGCATCAGGATATCTGACTCATGGTTACAACCATTATACCTTCAAAATGAATGCAACAACTATCCATCCATCCATTTTCTTTACCCGCTTATTCCATTTTGGGTCATGGGGGTCACCGGTGCCCATGTCCAGCAATCACTGTGCGAGGGGCGGGGTACACCCTGGACGGGTCGCAAGTCCATCACACGGACACATAGAGACAAACGAGACAAACAACCATTCACTCTCTCACTCACACCTAGGGACAATTTAGAGTTACCAATCAGCCTAACATGCATGTTTTTGGTCTGTGGGAGGAAACCGTAGCACCCGGAGAAAACCCACGCATGCACGGAGAGAACATGCAAACTCCACCCAGAAAGGCCCCTGGACCGGGGTTTGAACCAAGGACCTGCTCACTGAGAGGCAGCAGCTCTACCAGTTGTGCCACCGTGCTGCCATGCAATAACTATCTTAAGCATAATCAGTGGACAGAGCAGTGCCAAACACCTACGTAACTGAAATTAATACAAAATTATTTACCGGTAAATATTACTCAGAAGTCGTATCGAGGTCATGTGACCAGAAGTCAAGTAGTAGAATGCGGTAAATCATTTATTTTTATTGGTAAACACTTTTGGTAACAGCTGCTGTTTTTAAATGTACTGTCTAAATAAATTTGACGTGATTCTCCGCAGCAAAGCTCATATGAGGAGGAGGAGGATGGAACAGGGAACAGTCCCCCGCCTCCTGTTGTCCCCTCCGTTCTGTGCGGAGCTTAAAGGATATTGGTATTTAAACACATATTTACCGTACACAGAAAGATTTTTTTAAACTTTTATTTAAATATGTATCAGTCTTGACTGACTGAAGGATTTAAAAATAAACTAGACAAATTCTCCACCGCTGAGCTGTCATGACTGTTGTTCTTCGCTTCGTGTTCGGATGCGAGTTTAAAATGAGATCCCGGTATTTAAATGCATATTTACTGACACGGAAAGATGTCACACAGAAAGAATTTTAAAACTTTTTATTAAAACATTTACCAGACTCGACTGCTTTTGCGTCTCTGACCATCAACATGTTGATGCAGCTTACGAGCTACAGCTGTTTCGTCGTTGACATCCGATCGCTTTGAACTTGAAAGATGCATCATAAGAAATCCTCCGTACTTTTTCCATTATCTCTGAACAAATGAACAGGTTTGTGCATGAAGCGCAAAATCCGGTAACAACACCGGAACGATTTTAAGAAATTAATTCACGTCTCTCTTGGGGGGGATGGTCCTTGAAAGTACCACATTGGTCATTCAGGTTAGACTTCTGATCACATGATGACAGAGTGGGTGGAGTTATGGTTGGCTATTTAAAACCGTGAGCAAAATGCCTTGTACATCTGATTACCTGAAGGCATTCGCTCTGTGTTGTCACAAATGCTTGCTGCCATGAGAGGCAGGGTATTGAGAGCCATGAGCACTCAGCTGACTCTCAGCTGTCAAAGGAAAATGTTACTCAGTGGCAGGAAGCTACCAATAGGAAATAGGAAGACTTACAAATTAAAATCTTAATCTTGAAAACTGTGAAAAAATACAAATAAGACACGTCTACATATAAACCACAGGGTACAAAATATGAGAAAAATAGCAGCTTGTACACCAGCAATTATAATTTTATATATATATATATATATGTATGTGTATGATGTGTGTGTGTGTATAGGTGTTTTAAACCCCTCCCACACTCTTGCGATATTTCTGAAAAATGTTTCTGAAGTCTAAATGCTCTAAAAGAGCACAGCATGTCATGATCTCCACTCTCTGCCAGCACTTTTGGCCACGCCCACTTCTCCGCTGGATAGCGGAGGTCATGACGTTTTGCAGGAGGGAGCTTCTCCCTGCACATGTGGGCTGCACACAGGTGCAGTAGGTACTAAATAAAAAAAAACATTTTATATATAAAAAATATCCATTCCTATCTTGCAGCTCATCCATCAATCAGTGTGTCATGTCAAGTGTGTCAGATCCAACCTTACTTTGAAAAACCGCAAAAGAGCGAGTCCGCGAATGTCGAACTATGAAGTATCGAAGGACTACTGTAGATGATGCTCAATTTATAGCCAAGAAGAAAATGCATTACAATTTAAAAGCTAAAAAAAAAAATTTTCACGTCTCTACAGCTGAATGCGGTCTGACTGATAAACTAGAGCCTACCACTGTAAGCGAGTTAAATTGAACCTTATAAAGGCTGTAGGATGAATCTTTTTTTGTTTATTTGTTTTTTTAGCTTTTAACTGGGAAAGTACATTTAAAATCAATAAACACTCCAAGCTTTTGTCTTTTTGTTGGGAATGATAACATGTTTTTAGTCAAATAATGTGGGTGTAAAAATGTGGGTTAGCAATCCTCATTTATAAAACACAGGGAACCCGAGTACTTGGTTTAATATGATGCAATCCTCTCTGGTTTTGGCTCCATTTGAACTAGTCAATAGGTCCTCAGTCTGGTCGAAATTACACTCCATGTATCCAAACTGAGGTTGTTTTAAGTGCTATCTATAACAGGTAAGATATTAATTGTTCATAATATTTCTTGAAATATTTAAGAATTGTGGTTTTAATTGGTCTTTCAAAAATAAATAATGAATTAGTTTATTATTTAAGCTCTATTTTATTTTATCCCTGGAAATTGGGACATGTTGTTTTCTCTTTGATACATTATTATCACGTGTGCTGTTTGTGTGTTTGAATTTTAATAATGTATCTCCTGTATTTGTGTGTGTAAAAAAAAAAACTTTTTTTTTTTTTTTACTCTATACCATTATCAAACAATAACAAAAAAAATCATTTGTTTTCATGGTTTTGAATAGATTAGCATTGCTTTCTGGATTTCTGCTGTGAAACGTGTGTTGCTGCCTCGACAAACTAACCAGACTCCTAAAAAAAACAAACCATCTTTGCTATTTCTCATGCAAATATTTCAGAGATTTTCCGTATTAATTGTGTTATGCTGTGACTATTTTCCTCTTGATCAGTTTGCTGGAAAGCAGTAACCATCAGGATGAGGAGCACAGTCTCATTGCCCGCTATGCTGCTCGACTGGCTGCTGATGCTGCGGTGAGATATACAGCACACGAGACATTTATTGCGCAGAACTATTAGAGCATCTTTCATAGCTGTCCGATGCCAAAAAGCATGTCCTTGATGAAAAAAAAAAAAAAGATTTAACATAATGCTGCTACTCCTCTTTAGAGATCTTCAGTCCTCTTGACTGTCATTTTTAGGCAGACGTATATGGCTGTCTGTGCTCTTGATGGATGGCTGGTGACTTAACTGCTTTGTTGCCTTTCTGTGCGATGCCAGACACGCTAGTGGATGACATCACCGAGAGGTGAGGCCAGTTCACGTGATGTCTCCTGCTTGGTTTCACCAACAGGCTCAACAGCAGAGGGTCCCCACAGACCTCCCCTACTCTCTGGATGCCAACAAACAGCAGAGGCAGCTCATCGCAGAGCTGGAAAGCAAGAACAGGTCAGGGATGATTGCCTCCGAGAGACCGTTCATCTCTTTGCACTTATAGAAGGAAGGGAAACCGAAACAAACTTCACAGAGTCATTATAGCAAAGTATTATTAGCTAGTATTTAATTATGACCTCATAATAGCTTCCATTGAATGTTTTTTTTTTCATAGAGGTATGCACATCAAAATAAAGGTCATAAAGTAATCTAACTGTGTATTTGAATGCCATATTTTGCACACAATGCTCAAAGAGCTGCACAAATTGTGTTTAAGTGTAACTAAATTAAACAAAACTGGTTGAATATATATTAAAACGCTAAAAATGTGAAGCTGAAATGACATCAATTATTGTAAGAAGCCAAATCAAAGTTCAGGTAAATGGACCATGTGCTTTTAAAGTATAGTCGGTGTTTCTGTGTGACGTGGACGACACCTCTGAGCTGCTTTTGAATGACACTTTAAATGTGCGACTCCGCAAAAAGGTCAGGCGTGAATAATGAGTTTATTTTTGCTGCGTGATTTTCAGGACACAAATATCTTTCTGTGACAAATCAAAAAGCTACAGTTCCTGGATTTGCCCACTTTTCACCACGTATGAGGTCATAGCTGACAACATTTTGCTTCAACAGATTAAAATAATCAGTCTGTACTTGGCCTGTCCAGCAGTAAGAGTGAAACGAGTATCTGCTGAATGTTTGCTGCAGCTGCAGGTTTTTTAGATGATCTATGTTACAGCATGTTTCTGCTGCCACCCTGTGTAGAAAACAAAACATTTTTATTGCATTATCATGTGGAAAGGCATTTAATTGTGCAGCACGTCAGAAAAACACTAATTCTATTTTTTTGTGCTGACCGAAGCGTAACTTTTGCTAGAAATACAAAATTAATTTCTGCCAAACAAATGTTTGTTTCCACTACAGAGAGATCCTGCAGGAGATCCAGCGGCTGCGCCTCCAGCATGAGGAGGCTTCGCAGACTCCACCCGATAAGGGCCAGCAGAACCCCACCCTGCTCGCTGAGCTAAGGCATCTCAGGTAGCTGCTTTCATTAAATAAAGGCCTTTTTATCGCCCACCACCTTTCAGTCTACTGTTCTAGACTACTTTTACGTTATGTTGAGAAGCTGAGATTCTAATCTCAGAGTATGGTTTGTGAACAGCAGTCGGCTACAGCCCCTTCAAATTTTATCGCAATATCTGTAGAAATTACTGAATTATAGGTATTTATGTGTTTTATAAGATCAATGGGCTGTGGCAGAAATCCTGAATTGGATTAATTTCAAAAGTTAAACAATTGTAGACGTACGTCCAGTGATTATTTCCTGAAAGTCTCATTAAACTCTATCCAGTCGTTAATGAGATATTTTGCTAACAGACAGACACTGAAACGCACACAGACAAAACCATTATAGTCTGCCTAATATGGCACGTGAAAGTTAAAACAAGCGGTTCTGCTGTGGCTGTTTAAGAAGATATGTTCATGATGTAAAATGAACATGTGTCTGCAGATGTTGCCGTTGATGTGACAACGTGTTTTTATTATAACTTTTTTTTCCCTAGGCATCGCAAAGATGAGCTTGAACAAAGAATGTCTACTCTGCAGGAGAGTCGCAGGGAGCTCATGGTGCAGCTGGAGCAGCTAATGATGCTTCTCAAGGTACTGCAGATGTGCCTTTCATCTATCGGAGTGCAGTGCACTGTGGCCCAAAAAAATAAGCTCATGATTACTATAGAAATAGCACATCCTGTCTCGTTTTTTGTTATTTTAATTATAGAAAGGGCAAACTTGTGTGAAAAGCTGTTGTATTTTTCTATTCAAGCAAAAAAAAAAATGGGATCTCTTCAACGCCCAAAGTAAACAGCTGCCCATACTGGAATAAGCGCAGAGAATATCAATCTAATTAGCCCTAGAGGATCGATGTTAATCCATTAAACTTGCATGAGGGAGCCACAGACTGGCCACAACTTGAAAACAAATAAATAATTGAATTTATTTAAAGATCTAGCCGCGGTTTTTTAAAAAGCCACTACATTGTTTTTTTTTTTCAGCTGGAGGAAGAGCGGCAACAAGCTGTGAGTGTAAAAATCTCTGACCTGGGTGCACATGTGAAATTAAACCCGTCCTTGTTGTTGGTTTTACAGCATTTACAGGATTAAAGCAGAGTAATTCTGTCATTCTGAATTTTGTTGGAATGTGCTAACCTGACAGAAAACAGTCTGTGGTTGGATGGGAATATGTTTTAGAGATGAAAACATGTTTAACAGCATGTTAAGATGGTCTGAAACACTAATGCTGAGCTCAGTTCACTTGTAAATTCTGCTTTTCTAATCTGGCAAGAAACATAAAGCTTAACGTAGTCGGTGTGTCGACCTAAATAACAAAGAGAACAAGAAAATGTACATTTTCTGTGAAAATGCTGTGAATGGGAACGCTTGAGTGCTAAATGACCTTGGTGAAATTTGCTGAAGAAGCTGAAACTAAGGTGTTAAGATTTAGAGCAGCAAAACATTAGCTAAAAGAAAAAATATAGCTAAAAAATAATAAACACTACAGCCAAAAGTAGCAAAATGCTAACTTTATCAAAACACTACCATAGTTAAAAATGGCACAGTTCTAGCTAAAAACTAAATGTAGCAGCCTGCTTGAAACTCAAGTAGCAAAAGACTAGCTTAAAGTTGCAAGAGCCTAGGTTAAATCAGCAAAATGCTTGCTAAAAGCTGAAGAGGCAAAAGGCTATAGAAAGTACCGAGACACTAGCTTAAAGTTGTAAAAGGCTAACAAAAAGATAAATGTAGCAAAACGCTAAAAGTTTGAAGCTAAGTTTGAAGCTAAAAGTAACAAAAGACTAGCTAAAGGGTAAATGTAGCAAAAACCTAGCTAAATTCTCTAAAGGCCAGCTTTCAGATGGAAAAGGCTAGTTAAAAGGAGCAAAGTCAATCAAAAAGTATTAAAATACTAGCCAAAACGTAAAAGTAGAAAACAGCTGGCTAAAAGCTAAACATATAAAGGGGTTAGCTAAAAGCTAAAATTAGCAACATGGTAACTAAAATTAGCGAATCAGTAGTTACAAGCTAAAAGTAGCAAAGAGTTAGGTAATAATAAATAGCAATAGGTTGCAATAGGCTAGCCTAAAGTACATGACTGGCAAAAACTAGAAATAGTTCCAGGCTAGCTAAAATCTAAAAGTATCAGAATGGTACATAAAACACTGAAATGAGCATAAGAATACAAAAATACAGCAAGTTTGCTGAAGCCAATTTTAAAGCGAACAAGGTTCTCAAAGGAATGGAAGCTCATTGTATGCAGATGTAGTTGCAAAAGCCACACAGAAAACAGCAACAACCAGGAAACCTCTTTAATTGTGTTGATGCAGAATCATGATTCATATATATTCACATGTTTTTATTGATAGTCGTTTTCTGTAATAATACTTTTCTTCCCACAGACTCAGGGTCCCGGCTCTCTGCGCTCCTCCCCCAGTCACACCATCAACCGGCCGATCCCCACTCCGATCCATTCGGACTCTGCCGGCACCACTCCCACTCACACGCCTCAGGACTCACTGATGGGCGTGGGAGGAGACGTTCAGGAGGCCTTCGCTCAGGGTAACACTGAAACATCTGCTTCTTGGCATCTGCACGGGATCACACTTGAAAACGTTTCTTCTTTCTTTTTTCTTTTTAGGTCCAAGGAGAAATTTAAGAAATGATCTTCTCATTGCTGCTGACTCCATCACCAACACAATGTCTTCGCTAGTTAAAGAGCTCAATTCAGGTATAAAGAATGAGGAGGGTGGGAAGAAAAGCTTGCTTTTCACAGTATAAATTTTAAAATGTTGGTTTTTTTCTATCAGAGGGCGGCAGCGAGACCGATAGCCTCTTGGATTCAGACTTTGGACGTTGTGACACGACGGCTCCAACTTCTTCAGATCTTTTCTTCTCATATAAGCCCAGGTAGTTAGCAGACAAGCACACCTGTTGAGGTGCTTTACCACTGACGTGTCATTTTGAACATGCTTTTTGTGTACCAGGCCTGTCAGCGCTGCGGAGGCAGAAGGTTTCGAGAACAGTCTGGAGCAGCAACTCGAGGATGAGCTCAAGCTGGAAGAGCTGGTGCAGCGCAGACAAGAAGCTGACAAAACGTGCATGGTGAGTCCAGTCCGGTGACGTTCTGCACTTCGACTTGTTAAAGAACTAATCTGTCTGTTTCCGTCGTTTCTGTTTGCATCATTGTGGTTGAACACAGGTGACTCTGCAGCAGTGACTGTCCACGTTACTGGTAAGTTTCAGCTTCAGCTGTTGCTTATGTGATTAACACTTTCTCTCGTGCTTATCATTTTAACTTCCCCCAAATGACACGCTCCTGTAGCACATCTGTTGTCGTCGTTCAGACCACACTTACATTTGCTCAATAATATATCATAGTTTGAATTTGCAACAACTTCGCTTTCTTTCAAACTATGTCCTAATTTTTGTGTTTGTAGCTTTTAAGTTTTTTTTCTTCCTGCCTCTGTGTGGTATGTCAGGATACAGTGTTGCCAGGTCATGGTGCATGCTACTACAGTTTTTAGTCACACTTGCAGAATGATAGCAGTTGATCACTTTGTTAAAATTTCTTAAGATCAAACGTTCAATCTAGTTATTGTGCAGCCGTGGTTGTTTTGCAGAATTTTGACAAAAAGCGAAAGTCCTCACATTCCTCAAAGTAATGCATATCGCCGGCCTTCTGTCATGTCAGAGTTTTACACTGAGATCATTTGATGTTAAGCGATGATGTAGCTGTTTTGGTCAAAGCTTAAAGAAACTTTACACACAATCTTGTGCAATGTTACAATGTGACACACTCTGTTGGGTTTCACTCCCAGCTACTACATCAATCAGTTTTTCACAGACTCCCTGTATCGCGGTTTTTCAAAGATTGGACATGACACACATTGGCTGATTGATGGATGAGCTGCACAACCAGCATGGATTTTTTTTTATGAATTATTTTAAATGGTTTAGCATCTGTGTGCAGCCCACAGCTGTGGGAGAAACTTCCTCCTGCAGCTGATCAACTGATCTTCAAGTGGGCGTGGCCAAGAATGCATCTGGAGGAAGACAGCTGAAATGACATTCTGTGCTCTTTTAGAGCGTTTAGAGTTTAGAAACATTGTTTAGCATATTGCAAGAGTGTGGGAAGGGTTTAAAACACCTATATATATATAT